TTTTGTATCCTGCGCGTCCCGGCATACTATCGTGTTAGGCGTTTTCAACATTCCAAGGCAGGCAGGCTTGCACAACACTTCATTTGGCCTGTTATGAGCACTCACGATTTGCCAAATCCCTACCCATCTTCTCCATCTCCTCAGTCATCGCCCGGACCTCTTCTTTCCTTGCGCGAAGTTCTGCCTTCACCTCGGCCAGTTGCGTCTCGAGTTCGACGTTTTCATTGTGCCCAACGACCAAAGGAGGATCGCCGACGATCGCGCGCAGGAACTTCTCCTTTGTCACTTGCTCTACATAAGAGAAGCGTAGTTTCGAAAATAACTCCTTCAAAATTGACTGATCAGTATGCCACTCTCCTGCGCTAACTTGCAGACTTTCGCTAAGGGAAAAAAATCGAAGGGTTCGCACTTTGTAGTGGCTGAGGTCTGCCTCCAATGAAGCAGGTGTTGGGTTATCTAGCGAAGAGACATCTGAGTTGCGCTTCGAAGGGGTAGTGGTCGCTTTCTCAGATGTCGGAGAAAATATCGGTTCGCTGATCCGTATGATATTCAGCTGCGTCTTCAAGTCGCCATTTTCCTGTTCCAGTTGCTGCAGTTGTTTTCGTACTTCTGCGGGGTTCGGATCGGACATGTCTTATCGTATGGTGATGGTGTAGATATTGGACAGGTACGAGGTAGGTGACAGGACTTTCTTTGAGCCTAGTGGCCATGAATTGGTGAAAGTGTGTAGCCGACCGAAGAGGATTTGATGATCTAGCGGCGGTTTTCTGCTGCTGCTGCGCGTGTCGGCAGAACATGCGGAGGTAAACAGTGGATTTCCCATTCATGGTGGCCCTTTGTTGACCCACAATGCCTTATCGGGGCTGGGCGGTGAAGTCTCCGCCGCCGCAATGACCAGCCAGTATCGCCGCTCGTAGCTCCCTCCTGCAATCAATTGTATCTTGCATTTGTATTCACATCTGCAGGGCTGTTGAATTCAGGTTGCTCCCAGTTAAGCTCCTAATGAGCTAGTGGTGAATGCGAATCCGACGTTCCATTTATGTCTAAATACTATCCCCTCCACCTGCCCCGCTTCCGACGATAATGCAATTTCCCCAACTCATCAAATCTCCTGCATTCCCCACCGATAGCACCGTCTGATACCATGTCCTCCAATCCAGCGAAATCGCTCGGCGCGCTCGACGACGATGACTACGTTGCCCAAGTCCTTGCGCGCGAGGCGCGCGACAGCTCCCTCAAGTATTCCGCACGAGGCTTGGAAGCATATATGCCAAGAAGGTGAGCACCGTTGGTTGCGCGCATGCAGTTCTCTGGGGTTTAGGAGGGCAAGAGCTGACATACAAGCCCGCAAGACCTACAGGCGCTGCCCCAAAACCCAATACGAGGTTTCTCCGGCATATCATCAAGGAGACGGACAGTCATAATGCGGCGCTGAAACGGAAGGAGGAGCGAGAGGCGAGGGAGCGGATGCGGCAGTTGAGAAATCCAGCGTCCACTTCAACGCATGAGTCGAGCCGGGAGCATCGGCGGCGGCGTGATTATCCTTCAGACCACCGAGGCTCGCGGACGAAAGGCAGGGAAGAGCGCGAGGACAGGCACAGCTCCCGTTGGAGGAAACACGGGAGTCGTTCGAGGTCCACGGAACGTGATCACACGCGCAGCAGCGACCGGAGGAGGTACAAGGATGATGACACTAAAGTCAGCCGGCATGATCATTCCCGAAGAAGTCGTCGACATCGATCTTCTTCGCGGTCTAGGAGTCGATCCCCACGGATCGATCGAAACTCAAGCTCCAGAAGTGCTCGCAAAAGCTACCGTACGCGTGGTGAATCGCCGCCACGCTCCCGGTCTCGGTCCCACGAAAGGTCGGACAAGCGCACAACCACAGACAGTGAGAGGAGGATTCACCCTAAGGACTATGATCGTCATAGCTCCAGAGGCCATAGGGCGTCGCGCGAGGACCCACCACGTCGTCACCCATCAGCAACTGAAGGCAAGCCATCGGACAGCGAGTCGGATCCACTAGAGGATCTCGTTGGACCCCTACTACCGAAAAAGGATGGATCTGAGGAGCCGGCGCTGATTCGTTCGCGCGGTCGAGGTGCCTACAAACCCAATATGAGCAACATCGACGCCCATTTCGCACCCGATTATGACCCAGCCACAGACGTGCAGCTCGAAGAGGACGATCTACAGTCCAGTAACAAGAGCTCTCGCAGACACGTTCCTGGTCTCATGACCGGCGATGATGATTGGGATTATGCTTTGGAAGCTCTGCGTGACCGTGCTCGTTGGAAGCAGAAAGGCGAGGAGCGGCTCCGCGAAGCTGGGTTCAGCACGGATTTTGTGGAGCGTTGGAAAAGCAACACTACCTCCAAGCCTGAGAATGATACTGATGGTAGACTGGAAACTGTGAAATGGTCCAAGAAAGGTGAGGGTCGGGAATGGGACCGCGGTAAATACGTGGATGAAGATGGACACATTGATGTAAAGGCCTCCTGGTAGCCCCTGGGACTAATAGAGAATCGTCTTGGAATTAGCAAGGGGCCGTAGCATTACTCTTAAACCTATATCATAAAGACTATTACACTGTCATGCAATGAATTTCGCATCACTGTGCACACATGCGGTTCTGTGTGATAATTCTTCTCAGATAACTACTAAATTATCAGAGGCATAAAGGTCAGTTTACACTCGTAGTAAGAGGCTGGGAGGTAAATCTTGACGGAAATATAAATAAAGTGGCGCCCGCCCCAATCCACCCCGCATCGGCAATACATAGATGTATAATATCAAAAGCTGTGAGAGATAGGATTTAGCTTCACCGGTTGGCCTTGCGAAGAAGTACTACACATGCAATCCCATTGGTATCAGCTACAACCAGCTGAAAGAATATGATCGCCATGATGGCTTCCAAGTTGGCTATCTCGAACACTTTGCGGATGCGGTGCCAAGACCCAAACCCGACCAGTTCCGCGCGGTTGGTCAGGAGTGCGGAATTGTTCGTCATGGCTTTGCAAAATCAGTCACTAATTGCCTCATCGCAACGATTATAAGTGGTGGGACAATGGGCTGAAGTGATTGCTAATGGAGATTATGATTGGTAATGTAGATAGAAGCCTTGAGATGGTAGACTACTTTGTAAAGTCCTTAAAAGAATAGACTTTTCGCACCATCTGATAAGTAAACTATTCTGTAACTTACTGTCGCATTGAGGAACGGGTCGAATTAATACTCAAGCACAGTCAACCGAATCTTCAACAATAAATTACTTCAGTACTGTTCAATACCAGACAAGATGACGGATCAATATGCCTTCTCATACCCCTCCCCGCTCAAAGGGTACGAGAACCTGGAGCCGCTCTCGGAGTAAGTCCAGCCTAGCCTTCGCATATTCACGAAACAATACTCCGTACCTGGCCAAGCGATTCTACACAACACGAGTTACTGAGATACTGCGGCCTAGTGAGCGAAACGAGGACGGAAAGTCCCTCAAGAACCCCCAACATGGCATCCTGAGCAAAGCATACGAGGAATTCCCGGATCCCCTCACGAAAGGCCGACGCGGAGGCTTCGACATACATATCTATCACTTTCAAGTGAGTTCACGCCCCCATGATGAGCCAGCCATATTACACCCAATTGCATATTCTCCAGACCTAATCCAGGGGTATCTGTTTCTAGAATGACCCCGACCAAGTCACTTTCGCCAAGGCGCTCTGGGAAAGAATCCGACGTGAATGTGAGCTTGTTTTTCCCCTAGTCCAGCGTTCTGTATACCTCCGCACGTGGGCTTCCAAACGGCCACGCTGCGTACTATAGGGGTGCATGTGGGCTCTTGAAAAATTGACATTGGGGTACCCATATGGATGCAGTCCCCGAACTCCGGATCTACACCTTCTTCGATCGTCCCGTAGGACCGCATCCCGTGGCCATGTTCGAGGTCAATCTATTCACCCCGGCGCAGTTTGGAGCATTCGTGCCATGGCTGGTCATCAATCGAGGGCCGTTGAGTGCTTTAATCCATCCGAATACGGTGAAGACGGAGGAGCTGCGTAATCATACGCAGCGTGCTACGTGGTTGGGCGAGAGGATTCCGTTGGACCTGCGGACTCTCAAGTTGATCTCGGAGCAGGCGAAGAAGGAGGAATTGGGGAACTGAGGATGAGGCAGTAGTGATGGCGGGTCATTCTCTCGACCGTGACTCGACTTTGTGTGCATAGCATAGCATAGCCTGGGTGATTCGTATTGTGACTGTTTATGAATCCAAATGTTTGACGTTCTCAATGCCGCAGAAACCTGATTGGGTTGATTGATTGTCACCCGCATCAAACTACTTGATTGGGGGGAGTGTCGGTGCCAAGACTATTGGTCATCTGCATGGGGTTGTGTTTGTGAGGACAAGGAGGAGTGAATCGAAGATGGTGTCATTTCCCTGGACATCGAAGCTGGACATGCCAGGGTAAGGGGCCCTGCTACTGGCCACTATGAGTTTCACGGGGCCCCAAACCTCCTCACAAGCTGCAAAGTGTGACCTTGCCGATCACCCAGTCATCGTGCAAATTCCAATTTGAACGACCAAATGAGCCCTAGGTCAAGCCCATTGGTCAATAGCAAAGCTCAGGTTCTGTCGAAACTGCATGATATGCTAGACCCTGGTTTCTCTGCAACCAGGGAGCCTGACCCAGTAGCTTGATGATTTGACGGTCTGAGGATGAAGCAAGGCCGAAAGAACCCTGGCTGTGAGCGCTTGACCTTGGAGCCGAAGACAAAAGCAGTGGTTTCGGACACCGAAATCATCGTTGTGTCGCATGTGAGGCTGGAAAAAAGGGTGCAGGACTCGATCCGCACACTGTAGGGCATCAGGAGGGTAAGGCTTTGCAACATGCATCTCCAGATGACACGGTATGGTATGCTTCTGCTGTTTCATAGCATATTCAACGTTAAATGACTTGAAGATCACATTGTCTTGCGAAGGTTGCGGAGGGCTGAGAAAGGAACTTTGTATTAGACTTGGAAGGCCCCTTAATCCTCGAGTTAGAATACTGCATCGAAGCAACAGCAGCAGCTTTTCGAAATCATATGTAGACTTTGTTTCTTCCATCATGTCAACATGTTGAAACTCCTCTACCAGCTACCTCTCCTAGCCACGGAGAGTGTCCTGTCTGTCGCCTCGACTACTTCCCTCACAGCAACTACGATCCCCGCATATGTGATAGTATACGGTGAGTGAACACCGCGAAGCGAGTGCATGTGATCTGATTGGTTCCCACAGCACCGCTTGTATGGCTACACAGCCAAGATGTATACAGGCCTTCCGACATCGGTCAACAGCTCATAAACACCATTCCCATGGTGAATTGGTCATCCATTCCAGAGTCACCGTCGCCCCCAACTCTAGATAACCTCGCGTACCTCAACGACGTGGGCAATACGAGCGTGTATCTCACGTCCAAGGAGGGGATCGATGCGGATCCTCACCCATCGTGGTTTTATGGGGTAGATCCCGATATCCACGGCGTGACCGAAGGTGCTGTATCATCTACCATCGTCGTTCGCGATCATGGTGATGGAACCTTGGATGCCTTCTACTTTTACTTCTTTGCGTGAGTGAGCAGACTAAGCAGAGGGGGGTCTCACGGCTAACGAGTCTTGTAGATATAACCAAGGCAACACGGTCTTGGGCATGCAATTCGGCAACCATGTCGGTGACTGGTAAGACCACCCCCCGTAGCCATCATTGCGAGACTCACACTGCAATAGGGAGCACAACATGATTCGCTTCGAGAATGGAGTTCCCAGATCGCTCTGGTATAGCCAGCACGCTGGCGGACAGGCTTTCACTTATGAAGCCACAGAGAAGAAGGGAAAGCGGCCCATCGCCTATTCCGCAAATGGAACACATGCTGTGTATGCAATTGCTGGGTATGATGTCTCGATGTTTGTATTTGAGTCAGGAGCTTACCGTATTCTCCGACAGGCCTCATGATCATACCATCCCCAACTTCAACCTTCCCACGGGATTGATCGTCGATTACACCGATCGCGGGGTTTTCTGGGATCCGACCCTCAACTCATATGCATATAGTTACGATGCAACGAGCAAGAAGTTCCAGCCCTATGACTCCAAGTACCCGGTCAACTGGCTCGAATACAACGGTCAATGGGGAGACGATGCATTGCCGGGTGGACCGGAGCTTTTTGGACAGGCCAAATACACCGGGGGCCCCAACGGTCCCAAATTCAAACACATCGTCCGATCCGAAGTGTGTCCGAAAAGCCCGTGCATAGTTCTCCCGTTCCGAATCTGGAGTGACGGCGAGACCACGAGGAAGCAGTGAATCTCCCAGTATATAAGAGGACTTCTTATTTTCAGCAAGGCATCATGCGATTCCTAAATGATGACAACAGCAGAATCCAATGTTGGGGGAGAGAACGTGTGGGGCCTGCGGTGTGTCTTGCTCTGGATGCCGAGGGAGGGGAATTCTGGTGATCGGAATGGGGCCAGCAATATGAGGATTCATTCGAAAAAATATGCTGGCTAAAAGGCCCAGGGATCATAAATGTTAGCTTTCAATAATGAAGAACCTAAAATTCCAACAAGCTGAATTGATATCTGGGATGCAGCTGGGCCCCTTCCCAATGCTGCGCTCCCTCCGGTCGCGTTTAGTATCTCTGTGCTCCTTGGCCATGACTCAGGGGCTTGGTGAGGATTGCGTGAGTTCTTCTTAGCATGGTCAGTGCAAAGACTGTTGGAACCGTTTGTTTCTCGATTGTGATATTCCCTCTGCCAATTAGAGCGAAAAGCAGACCAGGAAGTGAATCTACTGCTCTCATTAGTCAGGACCAGGCATCAAAGCAGCATCCGCAGTCTCTGCCCACGTAAGACACGGGCAACTCGGAACGGAAAGTGACCCCCACCCCGCACTAAGAAAAAAGGGGCCACTCGCTGTATGAGGCAGGTGCTGGCTGAACCGATAAGCCCCCAAGAATGGCCGAGGCTGGTTCAACTTTCTTGAGTCTGACCTTCTCCCACGACCTTGAAGAATCCGACAACTATGGACTGGGAGTCAGAGGGTGTTGAGGCAAATGCTTAGAAAATCCGGGGAAAGGGAAAGAGGAATGTCGCCCAGATGCAAGAGATAAACAACCTAACGAGGAATGACAGGACGGTACCCACGTGTACTGTACTTGGGGAGTTTTGACCACGGCCTGATCGTCAGTTGAACGTGCAGGACGGTCAATACGAGGGGTATCGGAGACGTATTGAACGGCAACCATATCTGCTCCAATTCGCGATTCGATCCGTCCTTCGCTGCGTGAACGTTAATAAATTAATCTATCACTGTGCCTCAATCAATTGCTGCGAGATGAATAAGCCAGCTTAGCGCGGCTTAAGCTGTTTCCTACAGCATTCCAATCGCAAAGGAATCACAGTCAATTGTAGAGCTTCATTCCGTATGAGCCTGGAGCTCTTACCCAGGTACGGGGATTGTACACTAATTTCCGGGTAATAGAAGCTAACCACGCGTACGGAAATTGTCGTCGTACAACATCAGCAACATCAGAGTCTAGGAGAAGAGACCCAGATTCGAGAGCCAGTAACTAACTTAGTTAGCTGTAATCAATCAAACGGCTCACCCCTCCAGCATCCATCCAATTCAAAGCTAAAACCCCAACAGTTTAGAGGCTAAACAATCTGTCCTAGCAAAGCAACCCAGTGCTCACTAACCCCAAATTGCACTAGACCAACTTACACTGCTGAGAGAGTCTGGAAGAGACCGAGCTTCGCTACCGCTTTGCCCCTGAATTTCCTCCGGCTCAAAAGCTTCTCAAGCTTCTCTCCGCCTTTGTAGACGTGCAAAAGTACCTAGAGAAATGACGAAAAGAGATTTGGAATAAAAGAAAAAGAAATAACGTGGGAAGCAAACCGACACAAAATAATTGGTTTCCATTCTCACAAACAAGACAGACTTCAGGCAGGTCCGAAAGTCCAGTTGTCCTGGAGAAAGGCAAACGTGCTGCAAGTCTGCAGTTGCAGTGTGTCTGTCAGTCGAGCTTCTGTTTTGCGAAGCAGAAGGTTCAGTCGACATCAGCCCAGTCCGGATAAAGGCAGCATCGCCTTTGTCCAATCTCACTGGCCGATCGTCATCTATCCTCCAGCTCCATCCAACCTTTGCGCCGCTCTTCTCGGTCTCGGGCTCAATCCTTCATATCCTTTTGTGTCCCCTTTTCCTTCTTCTCATATTGATCCCGTTTCAGTTGTATGCGCCGCTTTAGTCGGGCGCTGTTGAGCAGGCATCGCTTTCAAAGATTCCCTGGTCGGATCGAACTGCAGTGCTGACGTATTGCTTGCTGGCCTTCGTTCTCATATTGCTTGCTGTACAGTACATTCGCGGTAGCAAGGTCTTTCAATTGGACGATCCACCTGCTGAGCTTGTGCAAGTCGATTGGAATAAACACCTGGTCGCTCGACTTTTCGTTTCATCTCGGGTCAAGCGATTGCGCAGACATCCGATAATTGTGTCGGGCCTCTCTGCTCTCTTCTTCTGGTCCGTTTGTCCGTCGTTTGGTCAAGAGGAATTAGTGCAAGCGAGATTAGAAGAACAGCGAAGCCACCCGAGCAGATCAGGTACGTTAATCATCTCGCAATCCGGGGACAGGCAATCCGTTGAGAACAATGAGTCTTCCGGTCAGGGGGTGCGGCGCATATTATACCGTGCCAAAACCACCTCTTTAAGAATTCATCGACTGACTGCAATTCACCACCACTCTAGCTGAATTTACCCATTAGATCCTTCGGGGTTCCAGTCTAGATTGAGCCGAGAGCAAATTCGGGATTGCCAAAGTGAATGAATTACTCCTGACTATATCTGAGACACGCATCATTCCCAGTGACCCCACTTCTGTTTGGCCATTTGCCCCCCCATTCGTGTTACAGCCAGTCAAGTGATAAGAGAAAGCAGAGGTGACCCAGAATAAAACCCAATGGCAAGCACATCAACAACACCCCGGACTCCGGTTCGGATTGACCCTTCCGCTGTCGCCGCAGAGACAAAGGATCAACGCAGAGCGTCATCTTTAAGCTTCCTTCGTCGCTCCAAATCAATTGAACTCTTGGGTGAGAGGAGACCATCTGCAAGCAAAAGTGGCAAGAATATACCGACGGAAGCGGGATCTCACCATCAACGCGCATCAATGCTATACCACCAACCTCCCCGTCTTCCAAGCTTGTCTCCGGCTCCAGTCCTGGACACTTTTGGTGGCGAGTCACCACGAGAAACCACTGCAGCGCCTTCCACCCAGTCTCCCGTGCCCCGTCCGCAGAGTGTGTCCCGCAGTACGATGAGTACGCCAGTGAAGCCAGAGAGCAGCGATCCATACGCGCGCGCGGAAAGCATGGCAAACCGTGGACGTTATAGCTATGTAAGCAGCGCTGCTAGTTCCGTCAACAACCCGCGTCGTCTACGTCGTCGCAAAGATCCTACTCCATACAAGTAAGCTGTCATCAATCCGGGGACATCTCTCGATACAATATACTGACCTGCGTCAGTGTTCTTGTTGTTGGCGCAAGTAACTCGGGCAAGACATCGTTCCTCAAGTTTCTCAGAAAGTCTCTGGAGCTGCCCAGCAAGCATTCAAATCGTCAACCGAGTGGCCTGGAAGATCAAGAGGGTCTGTCTACAACAGGCGAAGGCTACACTTCCTCCTATCTTGAGACTGAAATCGACGGTGAGCGGGTAGGCCTTACTTTCTGGGACTCACCGGGCTTGGAGAAGAACATTGTCGATATCCAACTACGTGGTGTAACAGGCTTCTTGGAGAGCAAGTTCGAGGAAACCTTGAGGGAGGAAACGAAGGTCATTCGCTCTCCCAACGCCCGAGACACGCACATACACTGCACTTTCCTGATTTTCGATCCCGTACGCTTGGATCAGAACATCGCGGCCGCTGAAAGAGCAGCGCAAGGGACTCCAAGATCAACCGACTCAACCATAATTGGCATCCTAGATGAAAGACTGGATGTGCAAGTCCTACGAACCATGGTGGGAAAGACCACTGTCGTCCCAGTAATCAGCAAAGCCGACACAATCACTGCCGGGCAAATGGCATACTTGAGGAAAGCAGTCTGGGAAAGTCTCAAAAAGGTCAACATAGATCCCTTGGAAATATTGACTCTGGAAGATCAGGAAGAATATACTTCTTCAGAAAGCGGTGACGAGGAAGAGTCTGGCGATGATGAGGGGATCTCTAGATCTTCCGCCCCATCCGAACCCAGCCAGAACGCTCCCGAGCCCCAAACCGTGCCTCAGCTACTTCCGTTCACCACTTTGTCTCCCGATCAATACTCGCTGAAGTCTGGGGATGAGCCCATTGGCCGCAAATTCGCGTGGGGTTTTGCCGACCCATACAATCCAGAGCACTGCGATTTCCTCAAATTGAAGGAGGCTGTCTTCAATGACTGGCGGATCGAGCTTCGGGAAGCGAGTCGTGTGGTCTGGTATGAGAGATGGAGAACCAGCCGCCTCAACCGTCATGTCGCCACGTCTCCTGCTCCTTCCAAAGACCTTGCCCAGAAGAAGGTATACGGCGGGAAGACTGGGCCTGATCTCCGTCGATTTGAGTGATCCCCTGCACTCTCGACAGCCATTTAATATGGCTTGCATTCTGCTCAATTGCCTGAGATTTATCTACCACCATCTTCTCATATTTGCTTGTTGCAGCCACAGCATTGGTTATTAGCAACCCGATCTTGCGAACTGTTTTTACCTGTTGATGATGCGAAGAGAGACCGCCAGCCTCTCGACAGCCGAAACTGCTGATGAGAAATGGTCTCTTGCGTACACTATTCAGCGTTCGATACTCTCTTTAAACACCTCTACCCTTTGATGTGATATCAACCCCATGTTTTAACGTACCAGCGCTACTGCGGCACTTTCGACTAAGCACCTGACTGCTTGGTCATCTATGCTGATTTTGTTACCCATTGCGTCCACAAGTCATACCCAATTCCATTCCTTCTTTGTACTTCTGATGATCTTCTGGTCCCTTTATGTTGACTCTGTCTTGCTAAACTACTTCTATGACTCGTGGCTTTGCTAAAGCTTCAGCATGTTTGTATCATGCCTGTTACTGCTATGGTTCGACGCTGTTATAGCGGGTAATGCATGCCAGACTCCGTGCGTGAAATTGGTTTATTCATTCCGGTAATAAGGCTGTGTGTATCGAGTAGATATTTCGGTGTTCAAGTATAGTCTGCTAGCTTAGTGTTGATGTCGTTTCTGTTCGGTCGGAAATAACGTTACCACCACTCACTACATGAATATGGACTGGGTGCATGCACTTATTACTGTAAAAGGAACACCGCTCTTTTTTGCTTTGAAGAGAACCAACCACCTCCGACTAGTAGAAGTGGATTAGGCTAGCCTAGTTGACTTGACGAGGAGTAAATGACCAATGATGGGAATGAGACCCTCTAATGAATCAATGATACGAAGCGCTAGTCCGGGCAGACGCTTGAATGGATTGAGGGAGGGGCCTTCGGAGGGGGCCCAGGCGGGTGGATTCCGGACCCCAAGCTCCCTTATGAACATGAGATGATGATTAGACTGCCGCCGCCCAGGGTGGACCAGCAATGGGCGTGCCCAGTGGATAGGTGGTTTTCAAGGCTGCAGAAGACGGTGTGCGGCTCCAACGGGTTCGCAGGCCCTCAATTGGATGGCGACACTTCTCAGTCTTCAGATAGTTTAGTACACTTCGTAGCGCGAGTCCTAGACTACAGTTGCACTGTCGCATTGTTGTTAACGGCGCGAAAAGACAGCAGCAAATATGCCCTGGTTACACTTTTGTGTGCAGTGTTTGTGTGTGCGTGCAGAAAGGGCAGACAAGGCGGTGGTGCGCGCAGCCCCGCGGGCGAATACTAACTTAACTCCCCTCCTCCTCATGCGGACGCGATTGACTTCAGCTGCTGTTGCTCAGCTGAACTCCCAGAATTCTTGATGATCACTCGCTGCAATTTACGCAGCCTTGTCACTCCAATTACTAGAGACTAGAGACTGGAGAGAAACACTGCCACCTAGTCTTAACTTACTTCCATTTACCTAATCTCTCTTCTGAGTCTGCTCCCCTTTTGACTCTCCGATCTGCGTACCCCGTTCCTGTCATCATATCCCGCCCTTCCCAGTCGTTATTTCCTCTGTGCTCCACACAACCTTGAAGGCGATTGCACTTTTGAGACTCCGCCTATCTACTGGTACTTCGCTGGGTCGCATTTTCACCTGTTTTTTTGACCTTCTACTCTGTACTTTACGCTCAGCCTCGGTGGGACTCTTGCTCGCAAGCTCTGATCTCTGATTATCGTCGCACCGGTTTCTAGCTTCCTCATCCATGTCACTCCAGGTGGGCGACCCACGGTCGCGAGGCCGTTCCAAGTCCCCAGGCGGCCGTATCCGCGATCGTTCCAAATCTCGCGACAGTCGGCAGCCTCCAACCCTTGACCGCACTTATTTGTCTTCCGCTCCGGCGGACGGGAAGTTGAGGACCAGATCCAGGAGCAGAGGTGCTGCGCCAGGTGACTTTATCCGGTCTAATTATCGTTATGGCCCCTCTGATAGCCGGGATCCTTACTTAGGAATCGAGCACGGTCGAGACTACTACTACCAATCTGATTCGGGCGAAAGCAAAGGTGCAAAGCGCGACAGTAGATACTCTTCTTCCGCTCATCGCCGCGATGCGCGCTACGAGAGCTACTCGGAGAACTCGTACTCGGACTCGGAGGATGATGCGCTTGCCTACGGTGACTTCCCCGATGATGACCTGGAGCGAAGTTATTACGGCTATAAGGGTACCGGCCGCGCTGCGTCACCGCGTCATGGGGGCGCTATGATGTCCGGTGCACTCAATCCGGGTGCACCCCCGGCTGGGGCGTCATCTCGCTCTGGGGATGGCATCAAGGAGCGGGTTCCTGGTAGTCATCCTAGCTATGCCAGACCCGACCCTTTCAAATATGCTGCGCAATCTCAGCATCCTCACGCTCAACCTTCACATTACGGTGACCCTCTTGCTTCATCTACCGTACCATCTACATGGGCACCGATACCTGAGTGTGAGCGACCGGGGTTTGTACCTCCATTGCCTCAGAGGCCTAATCAAGCAATGCCTGGTGCATTCCCAGCCGGCTCTACTCAGCCTGAGATGCCTGCCGCAACCGCTGCAGCCCCAATGCCTACATACAGATATGTCGATCCAAGTTCGACACAGAACCCTTATGCGCCGCAGAATGGTCGCCCGCTGTCGGTGTCTGCTGCCAATACATACGCAGCTGGAGTGGGCTCTTCAGCCCACCAACGCTCCGCATCGAGCGATGCGGCAATCAAGCCTTCATATGCTGCCCCAACCCCGTTTCAGTATGCACAAGTTGATCCCAACGTGAAATACTCGACCAAAAGTGCCGTGCAAAATGCTACCAAGCCGGTCACGTATTCCGCGGCGCCTCAATACTCGAAGAGCGGCGGCGCACAGGCCAATGACTCGCCTCATAGTGGAGTCAAATACACGGCTGCTCCTCAACTTCCTAAAACTCCGACCAGTCGTCAGGAAAGCGGTCCGCAGTACGTGGAAATTGCACCTGGAAACCGGAATGCTGGCCGACCTCACAGTCACTCCGTATCGTCGGCCCATAATCTCACAGTTGCTGGCCCTGACCCGACTCAACGACCGGCCAGCCCGCTCCAAGAGCCGTACAAAGGGACCTATCAAAGTATATCGCCGATGCCATCACCTATTGTCATTTCGTCACGGTACGATGATGACATCTCAGACCTAGAGCTAGTGGGCACTAGTTCAGACGAGGGAAAGAGGGAACACAGACGCAAGAAGAGTAAGGACGAGAGGGAGTTGAAACCCGATCGTGTGAGACGGGAGAGTAGCCGAGTACGGCACGAACGACATGGGTCCACCGGTCCTGACGCTCTCGTCATGATAACCCCCAGCAGCAGTCGAAAACGAGTTACCTTCTACGATGCAGGTCCTGATGCTCTAGCCTTGCAACAGGCTCTATCGCACACGCGACATGTCGACAATAAGACCCTGATTAAAGTGCTGCCACACTTGACAAGCGATGAAATCCTGGATCTGCGCAAGGAGTACAAAAAGCACGTCAAAGTCCACGGAAAGGGAGTGAACCTGGCGAAGCACGTCCGACTGAATCTGGGCAACAGCGCTTTTGGCAAAGTATGCTATGCTACGGCTTTGGGACGTTGGGAGTCCGAGGCCTATTGGGCAAATTGCTACTACCAGTCAAGTACATCTCGGCGTGAACTCCTGATTGAGTCTCTCTTCGGTCGGACAAATGGCGAAATCAGTGAGATCAAAGAATGCTTTCGGGATTCACGGTACTCGGATAGCCTGGAAAAGTGTCTGAAAGCCGAACTGAAGGCAGATAAGTTCCGTTTGGCAGTCCTACTTGCTCTCGAAGAGACTCGACAGAACGAACGAGATCCACTTGATCCAGAACTTATTGAGCGAGATGTGCACGAGTTACATCGCGCTCTGGTTTCGCGCCATGGAGGTGAGACGGCGATGATCTATATCATCGTCCGGCGAAGCGATCCTCATCTTCGAGAAGTGCTACGCGCTTACGAGAAGGTCTACCAGCGCAACTTCGCTCGGGCCATGATGGAAAAGTCGCAAAATCTCGTGGTAGGTTCACTATGCCGCAGTTCAAGTTTCATTTCGCTAATTCATCTCACAGGGCGAGACACTTGCACATATATTGAACGGAGCAATCAATCGACCCATGCGTGATGCTCTCCTTCTGCACCAAGCGCTACGCGAATCACGCACGGGTAAGGAGCGGTCCGAGCTCCTGATCTCACGACTGGTCCGGCTTCACTGGGAGCCACGACACTTGGAAAAGGTCAAGAACGAGTTCCGGCAGCGGTACCGCGAGCGGCTGGAAGACGCTATTGCCGAGGAAGTATTGACAAGTAGCGGAGGTAGCGAATGGGGAGAATTCTGTATCGAGCTAGCTCGCAGCTCCAAGACTCTTGTTGGCCGCGGTTGAAAATCTGGCGTTCTCGGGAAGGTTGCTCTTTTGATTTTTCTTATTTCTTCCCGAAAGGAACAGTATATACTATTCCCCTGCTTCCAGCGTGTGACGAATGATGATTATGATGATGATAATGGTATCGATATCATTAATGTAACATGTCAAGGCGATGTTCTTTACTTATGGATACCTGGACTGGCTGATCCGTCTGTCCCCTACCCTCTCAGCAAAACCGGAGCATACTGTGCTCTCTGGCGGCAACAGCAGACACGGACATATCAACATGTTCTCTCGGAGCACGAGGGGGATATTTCTGATATTTCTGCCTGGTGGATATAGACATGGGGCGGTAGTAATGACTTATCATGATGAAACCACGATCTTCTCTGTTTGATCACACATAATGTCTACACTAACCTAAATTTCAGTGACACGTTCCTTTTGGAGACATTTCAGATATAAATAAGATATGAATGCTCAAATTCCGTGAGTCTTTCAAGATAAATATGACCGAGACGGACTCTCAACTGCCTCTGGGGTTGGAGGAGGTAGTCACCGGTCATGCATCAAGTATATCACAAGACAGACGAGACGTGAAGTTGCCGCAATATTAGGCTGAACGGAACTTCTCCGAAAGGAAAGATTTGGAAGGTGGAGAAGTGGTGGAAGAAATCTGGGCCAAGGAAGAGTCTAAATTGCTCAAAGTTGAGGAAGGATGAAAAGGAACTGGAAGAGTCTTGAGTTCAACTCAACCCAACCGAACTCTGCCGCTATCCGAGTCAAGCTGAGTTGAACTAATCCATCCTTTCCTTCCCCATTCCTCGTCTTCCGCCTATGTCCGACCATGCAGCCATCCTGGTGTTTGACAGGGTCACACTGCATCCTCCCCTGGATCTCATCTCCCTGTTCCACTTAGTGCAGCCTTCCCCCCGGTTCCTGGACGCAGGGGGAATCCACTAAAAAAAGTTGGATGAGGGGAAAACCCCCCCGGCCCCCCCCCCGAACTACTACTCTATTTCATTTCTCCTTCACATGATGCCATCACCACCTTTGGTCACAATGCCCACTGAACCGTTAAACTTTGAACTATCAGAGAGCGACTTTGGCGCATGCTGCATTATCAATGATCGGACTGACGGACGAGAGAGTCAGTCTAGTTCCGATATGCTAGCCATGCACTGAAAGTCACGGGCATCGCACTTTCTTGCGGGGGTAATTTTACCTGCAGAGAAACGGCCCTTCAGATTTACTAAACTATTGAATGCTAGTCATGTATGAACCATGTCACTTCCTGCCGTTTTCAAATTGTCGTCTCCGTTCGCTGGAGGGGGGGGGGGGGATTCCTTCTCTCCGCGTCCATCTCCAATGGTTTCTTGGGGATTCTACTTTCTACTCCACTGAAATGCACCTTATTCATTTCGCTCCAGTTCTTGCCCCCCCCTCTTCATCAAACGGACTGACATCATGTGTGACCACTTTAATCTATTGTTTATTGTTTGTTTGAACTTATGATATTGTCACTCGTTCATGTTTCCATCTGCAGAAGGTAGTCACCTGCCCCCCAAAATGCTAAGAATTGGGCTTCAGTCTGACTGTCTCTCAGCACGACTATACTCGTTCGAGCCTCAGCCCAAAGACTCACCTGGACCCAATTTTAGGCATTCCTCCATACAGCTTGATCAGTCTATGCCGGAATTGCCGATTAGCGTCTGGCCTAAGGAGGTTCTGCAGCCCCAGTTCCGCATGAAAGAGAGCGGCCGAGACCAGATGCTTTAATTAAAGCTTGCATGGTAAGTTCTGGTCACATTCAGCCATGGCTTCCATGCCAGCGAGCGTCTCCATATTTGACACGGTGAAGAAAACTGTTTGGAGATTTGGATGTGCATGGGGTGGGGGGAGAAGCACTTCTCCTAGGGACTGTGAGGTCAGACGACGGCTGAAGACATTGCATCACGCATCTCTTGGTCTTTCGCTGAAACATGCTAGGTCAATTGAGATTGACGCAATATTCAGGACGTGTCTACCTTGAATCGCATCGTCCTTCAAATACCCCCTCCTTTCCCGCTTGGTATGCTGGCTTGATCCTGTGCTCAAACGTCCTTGACATTCCAGTTCAGCATTCCGGACTCCACATTCGCCATCATCGCTGCAAAATTTAATCTGTTTTGTCATTCCCTTTTTGCTGCGCGAAGAAACAGGCGCTTTTTACTTATAAGGGAGGGCCATGCTCCTAGTCTGAGTACCTGGTGGCTAAATCACAATGACGCGGTTCATATTAGGGTTACTGGTGACGGTGTTGGTCTCCTTCGCAGGGGCTACATCCGTATTCTCTCCTGCTCGACCCCCAGCATTACCTTTGGCAGTCAAGTCACCGTATCTGAGCACTTGGCTTGCTGCGGGGAGTGACGGAGGCAATGGAGGGTATTTGGCCGGGGAATGGCCAACGTTTTGGGCGTGAGTGCTACTTTACCCTGCAACGCTGTGCAATTCTCTACAATCACCGCGTGTAATTGACTGAGACTTGATGCGAAACAGTGGACAAATCAACGGCTGGGCTGGTATGGTTCGTGTCGATGGCACCACTTACACTTGGATGGGGTTGCCAGGAACTACCACAGTCAACCAGACTTCCTATGTTTACACGTCTACAAGAAGCATCTTTACCATGAATGTGGCAGACAAAGTGCAGATGAACATCACTTTCTTATCGCCCATTACGCCAAATGATCTGAAGAGACAATCGCTCATTTTCTCTTACGTGGATGTGGAAATTGAATCGCTTGACGGCACGTCTCATGACGTGCAAATTTATGCAGATATCTCGGCCGGTAAGTAAATTTCAGAAGGGACAGTGTAGACTGGGTCTGGTGCGTTTGGTTTCGGGATAACTGACACGCTGTAGAATGGACTTCTGGAGATCGCACTGCCACTGCGACATGGGACTACGGAACTACCAGCAACAATGTCGCGTACCACAAGGTTAGCCGCCAAACCCAGCTTGCTTTCTCGGAGACGAGCGACCAAGCGGATTGGGGAGAGTGGTATTGGGCGACCGACGAGAACGAAAGCATGACCTATCAATCTGGTATAGATGTAGATGTCAGAGGGGCTTTCTCGGCAAATGGGACGTTAGGAAACTTTCAGGATGCCAACTACCGCGCAATCTCGACTAATTGGCCGGTGTTCGCGTTTTCCCACGATTTGGGATCAGTTGACTCTTCAGTTGGAGTATTGTTCTCCATTGGACTGGCTCAAACCGATGCAATGCAGTATAATGGGACTGATAAGGGTTACGCACCTCTGCCATCGCTATGGACAAGTTATTTCAGTGATGGTGTTGAAGCCGTAAGTCCTCGCTGAGCCATTGCGGATACTATCATACACTAAAAATTCACCATTAAGCTGGACTTTTTCCATAATGACTACGGAGCCTCTTCGTCTCTCTCCACAGAGCTAGATGACAAGATTGCGGCCGACTCTCTAGCAGCAGCTGGTCAGGACTATCTTACAATCACTTCGCTCACTGTTCGGCAAGCATTTGGTGCAACACAACTGTGTGGAACAGTCGCAGATCCTTATCTTTTCATGAAGGAGATCTCTTCCGACGGGAACATCAACACTGTTGATGTCATATTCCCAGCACATCCGATATTCCTATACACCAACCCAGAGCTTCTTGACCTCCTACTGAAGCCCCTTTATGAGTTTCAGGAATCTGGGAAGTATCCCAACTCTTATGCAATGCATGATATCGGAAGTAATTATCCCAATGCTACTGGCCATGCAGATGGTAAGGATGAGGCGATGCCACTGGAAGAGTGCGGAAACATGGTTATCATGTCTCTGGCATACGCTCAAAGAGCCGGCAATACGTCCTACCTTCAAGCGCATTACGAGATGCTGAATGTATGGACAAGCTATCTGATCGAAGATGCGCTTTACCCGTCCAACCAGATTTCCACTGACGACTTCGCTGGAAGTCTAGCGTGCGTTTTCCGTGACTCGTTTGCAAACACATGCTGACTCATTCTATAGCAACCAGACAAACTTGGCTTTGAAAGGAATCATTGGCATTGAGGCGATGGCCACCATTAGCAAGCAAACCGCTCACTCTTCTGATGCTTCGAACTACACAACAATCTCCCATCGATATATCCGGCAGTGGGAGAAGATTGGCATTGCACACAATGCACACCCTGCCCATACAACGTTGTCATATGGCGCAAACAACTCCCATGGTGCGTGGGGTCGGATTTTCACTCTTATATAATTGAGTTACTGACAATTCGAACTAATAGGTCTCTTGTACAACCTCTACGCCGACCGCGAGCTGGGACTGGACTTGGTACCCAAGTCAGTATACGAAATGCAAAGCGCATTCTACCCGACGGTGCAAAATAAGTATGGAGTACCGTTGGACACGCGACACACATATACCAAGGGTGAGGCAACTCGAATATCATATGTTGATATCCTTCTAAAGCATCATACAGGTGACTGGGAGCTGTTCGCTGCCGCCGTCGCATCCACCAGCACGAGGGACATGTTCATCCAGCTTCTTGCGAACTGGATCAATGTTACTCCAACCAATCGGGCGCTTACGGATCTCTATGATACCACCACTGGGAAGTAAGCATCCAGCACTCTCTGTCTTTTCAGAACCATTCCGGCTAACATTTGTAGCTATCCATCGATCACCTTCATCGCCCGACCCGTTGTGGGCGGCGCCTTCGCCCTCCTACTCCTCAATCAAGGCAATTGAATTACTTACCGTTATATATACCCATCTATTCTTGGTCTGCGCAACTGACCTGTTCTGCTCAAAGCCTTCTTTGGTTCCCTGGAGCGGACCAACCTGTTTTGTTCATTCGCTCAGATGTGCCGGTCACTCGCTATGCATTTATCTTTGGAACCGCTTTATTGCTACCAGACCGTTGTGTGTATCTTTAGGCCAAGTCTATGTTTTCGATTATCAGCCTGGTGGTGCATTCGGAGGCTATGACACGCAGAGTATATACGTTCCCTCGCCTGGGCTGTTGCAGGGCTGCAAATATTACTTGGTGATCGCATGTGCTTGGATTCTATCTGGTTGTTGTCTGATACGAGAATTAGTCATCTTGGCTGTAGAGAAGCCGACTTTCATCACCCGATCCTTGGATAATCCATGGTGTAGTCATAATGCATTGCAAGCGTTGCATGGACGTGTCAACGACCCCGGCTAGAGGGACACTGTCGTCTACCATCACCCAAGCTTTTCTTTCCTGTGATACTGACATAGCCTTACTGGACTAATTCCGAGCCATTTTACGGAGCCGAAACCAGGGTCTAGCATATACTATTTTCCTCGCGCTAGCACGGGGGTACCTGTCTCTTGCTTCACCATCACAATTCAAGCGAGACCTCATCCGGACTACCTTCCCAAGCATCAAAAGAACGAATGAGATCTGTATGATGGTGATCAACGAGTTAGCTTATCATTTCATATATGCGAATTTAGACACCAAGAGGTCTGACGGTTTACGTTGAGGGGGAGAAGGGATGAAACAACAACGTCCCAGGGCATACCATAGTACAACATGATGGCCTCCAAATGGGCGTCGATGCCCACGCGCTCGTCGACGGTGTGGATATTGACGGCCCGGCCGGTGCGGGAGGGACTCCACCGGTAGATGTTCCGGGTGAGGGGCCAGTAGAACCGGGTGTCGGTGTTGCCGGTCATGATGTCGCCGCTGACGACGACGGTCTTGCCCTGGAGGACGGGGACGGACTCCAAGACGGCGCGGGTGACGCCGGAGAACCGGGCCCAGACGGGGTCGGTGCGGAGGTCGGTCGGGCTGACGGGGGCCGGGTCGAGGGCGCCGCTGAGGGTGGTGAGGGTCAGGTGGTTGTTGAGGGAGGTGTCGACCTGGTTGTCGGCGGGGAACGCGGTCACGCTCAGGTTGTACTTGCGGGCGATCGGGCCGATGATGTCGACGGCGCGGCGCTGGATCTCCTGCGGGGTCTGGTGCAGGGCCACGCGGTAGTTGACCAGCGCGGAGATCTTCTCGGGGAGAGCGTTGGACTTGACGCCGCCCGCGACGAGGTCGGCCGCCTGCGAGGTCTGGAGGATGAAGCGGAACTTGTCGCCACGGGAGTCCGCCAGCTTCTCGGCTAGGGAGACGTGGTCCGAGGAGCGGAGAGCCGAGGCCAGCCATGGCTCGACCTGCGCGGGCGAGTGGCGCACCTGGCACTCGAGTTTCTGCCGGGATGGGTGCCGCTCGTCCAGCACGGGGATGAAGAGGTCCTGTCGCTCGAGCGAGTAGATGATCTCGGAGATGATGCCGATGCCCGTGTGAGGCGGGGGCACGGAGCTGTGGCCGCCGGGTACGGCGAGGGAGAGCACGATGTCGATGCTGCCCTTCTCGCCGACGCCGGGGAGCGCGTAGATGACTCCATCATCGTCGTCGCTGGCGCTCGCTAGCTTGCTGTTGTCGTTGTTGTCGCTGAAGGTTTCCAGACCCATGCCGCCTTCGTCGAGGATGAATTCGAAGCTATCGGGACCGTACTTCTTCTGCAGGAAATCCGAGATATTCCCGGCGCCGAGGAAGCCATGGGACTCTTCGTCGAAGCCAAAGGCAAAGAGAACGCTGCGTGTGGGCTGCCAGTCTTGGGACAGCAGGTCCTCCACGGCCGACAGAAGACCGATCAGGACGTTCTTGCAGTCGCTGGCACCACGGCCCCAGAGCCATTCGCCGTCGAAGTGGCCGGCAAATGGAGGGTAGGTCCAGTCGGCAGCGTCGTTGATTGGCACGACATCCTGATGAGCCAGGAAGAGGATCGGCTTGAGGCTGTCGTCGGTGCCATTGAGGGAGTAGACTAGTCCCAGGCGGTTTACGTGATCTACACGAGCGTAGGAGTGGCTGCGGCGAACGGTTGTTAGGAGACACTGGTGGGCGAAGGTGAATCCCCACTTACAGGAGAGGAAACAGCGTTTGCAAGAGCTCGTGGAAGTCAAGGAATGGAGCAAATTTCTCATCGTAGGGGTCTTTCATGTAATCATCAATCGCGGTAGGGACTTGAACTGCTCGCGACAGACGGTCGACCTGTCGTGACTTCACCGCATCGTCGGTAACAAACTTGACCGATGAGAAGAAGCCGTCATCCGGGGCTTCGATTTTAGGTGCCAATGGGCAAAGATCGCTACTTTCGCCGGAGGGCCAGGAATTGAGGAGCTGTTGCACCGAAGGAACGCTGAGAGACGCAACGGAAGGGGCTAGCAGCCCTACAATGACAGGTAGTAGCTGATACATGGGCACTGGTTCGGATACAGGAGAGCAGCACTCGCAGGGAAGAAGAACAATCCCATTTTCAGGGATTATGGATCCATTATAAATGAGGGGAAGTAGCTTAAGCCACAACGCAATGGATTGAGTTATCTTATCGCCGGGTTGCGCAATCAAGGCGTCGATGGCAGCCCCCTCATTGTATCTGCCGGCGCGATAAGTCGGCTATCGGCTAAGGCGGATTTGGCCGCGCCAGGATTGCCTGAGAGGGCAAGTCTTTCCAGAGACTAGGAAGCATTTCATGCAAAGCGATAGCAACCGAAGGTTTGGTTGCATTCGAAGGCATATTATGAGTGGCGGTGAGGTACTTTAGAGCCACTATTCCTGCGGGGTAGAATCTTGAAATCGGCGATAAGGAGGACTGACAGTCTCACGCATCGCAGGAAGCAGATTGCTAGTCATTGTCTCTTGTTGATTTGCCAAAACAACCACTTTGAGGTTAGCTCTGATGAACTTTTGCTGCAGGTTGAGTGGATAGTGGGATCAGCTGCTGTTTCAGTTGACTCCGTGCTTAGTGAAGCAGGAGTTGCAGTTTGGTCTTGTTGGTCTGCAAACCAGACCAAAGCCGTCTACTGACAGCATGAAGGGCAGCAGCGATGGCTTTTTTAACTTTCGATGATGACGATGGAAGCCGAGGCTAAAATGTCAGTGCATCATTGTGGCGCTGTCAAGCTTGTGAGGATCGACAGGAGTAGCACAACATTAGAATCTGCATGAGCAACAGCCAGCCTTGACGGAGAAAAAAGGGTTGATTGCATGGTGTGGGTAGGTTGTGATGATGAGTGATGAATGATATGCCGATTGACGAAGGAAGGTTGGTAAGTCGTAACTGGAACTTGAAGTCAGAGAAAGATGCCCAGACAGGAAGGACGTAAAGGACGATAGTGGTCTCGTGACTTGGCCGTCCTCCTTTCTTTTTCTCCTTCTTCTCCCCCCCTTCCACCCTACGGATACTTACGGACACTTACTTCTTTATCTCACTTGAAACTTTTTGGTCCTTTGAATCCTTGATGTTTTCCTGCCCAACGACTCATCTAACATGCTTCAGCTTAAGCTTCCATGGAACCGACATTCTGTCGCGTTGATCATTGAGTGATGAAACGGGGATCAGGAACATCCCCATTTTGTGCCATTCTGGTCAGCTAATAAGAATCCACTCTGGGATCCATCATGGGTTCGCCTCCCCACAAATCCAACCAACTGACAATCGCTAGTCATCGCGTGGTGGTCTCAGAAACCAATAGCGCGTTGATCCCTACATCACTCGTTCAAACCTTTCTGAGAGGAGTCAGAGGACAAATGCTGAAACACCAGCCTTAGTTGGCTCAACACAGCAAGGGATCGTCCGAAACGCTGCCGGCGCGGAGCCGACGATCGCTTAACGAACCATTATGGAATCCGGACAGAAGAGAGGCGTTCGTACGCGCGATCATCAGATCGGCATTTCTGCTGGGTTTCAACCGCCGATTTTTGCATGCTGCCCCAAGGGGTTGGTTCGCCATGGGAAAGTGTGTATCGTCGGTTGGTTCGTCTCCATCCGCTGGTATATTAAAGATGGATCATATTTAGGTTGGCTCCGCCCATGAAAATTGGAACCTTTCCTGTCATCCATATCATTCTTTTGCCATCTGTTTCTTGTTTCTGCCTCCTGTCAAGCGCATATCCACTCTTTGATTCAGAGTTTTCTTCCCAATTCCAAATCGCATACACGTTCTTTACCCAGCCTTCGTTCAGATTCTACACCATCAACCGACAAAATGATTCGGACGAGCATCCGCAACCTCGCGATCCTGTCTCTCGCCTCCCTCTCGTCTGCCTCTTCTTTTGTGGGCTGCTATAGTGAACCCGGCGAGCTAGTTCTCGCGGGATCCTATCAATTCCAATCCATCGGATACTGCCAACAAACATGCGACAAGCGCAATCAGACTGTATACGCTCTGCACGACGGGAATCAATGCTACTGCGGCGATGCATTGCCATCTTCTGAATCTGAGGTGCCAGCTGCACGATGCAACACGCCTTGTGCTGGGTTCCCCTCTGATACTTGTATGTCTCCTCCATTTTATCTATCACTTGCACAACAGCTAATCATGTCCACACAGGCGGCGGCTCTGACACCTGGAGTGTCAGCTCCGATTCCATCAACGTCAAACGCGATGATGCCGGCTCTGTCATCGTGACCGCACCGGACACGCCGGACTCTGCGGCAAACATCCAAGTCAACCCCACCTTGGTCGAGACTGGCATTGCGCTCGCCAGCAGTGTCGTCAGTGACGCGGGAGGCAGCGCCAAGACATCTATTCCCAGCGTCATCTTGACTGCCCCAACCATGACTGCTGCGCAGCAACAGCAGCAGGTGGGCTCGGCAACCGCTACTGCCGCGTCGATCGTGATTGTTGCGTCGAATACTCCATCTTCTTCGGCCGCTGTTGCCTCGTCAAGCGCATCTGCAAGCCCCTCGGCCAGCGTAGGCGCTGCTGCTGTCTTGGACGCGGGTGCAGGGCACGGGTCGCTGGTCGGTGGCTTGCTGGTCTCGATACTTGCAACCTTGCTTCATTAGATACATTTCGCATGGTCGGCAGACGGATGGCAGATGGTACTCACTTCAGTGTATAGCTTTTACAATACCCTTGCTTGACATTCGAGAAGAACCGCAGGTCGGTTCGCATGTACTTACTATCGCTACCAGGGGGTCATTGCGATGCTCACTGCAGTCGCCCATGTAATTAACAGAAAATATATAAAAATAGGAAAATACAAAAATAGAAGCTGGAGGGGAAGGATCCTTCCATAATCATATGCTCGCTCGGTCAAGGTGAGCGACCGTCAAATGCTAGCATCACTAATCTGAAAGCAAGTTCTATCAATTTGATCAACAAGAGGTAAGCTAGTATAGTACTACCTGGTGAGAATGCGCATCATGGACCCGAGGAAAGCCACTGATTACAAATATGGTGGCTAAGTTGGTAGATTTGGCAGGAGGGTTAATAGTGCATTCAGCCCGAAGTATAGTGGGGGTACGCATCGATGGAGCATTAATGCGGTCACACCACTGCATCTATTCATAGGTCCTAACTATAGTACTATGTACCTGATGCCGATGCAACCCACTAATCAAGCATCAGCAACCGGGACCCTTCCCCACCAGAACCAAGAATCAGACAATGTCAAGTTTCCTCACGCCGCACAGAAAACCAAGCTTCGCCATGGAACGGTAGCAGTTTGTAGTAAACCTCCGCGACGAAGCCGCCTGGCCCCCTCGGCCTCCCCCAAACATGACCAATAAAGCGAGCCAAGATACGAGGACACAGTGGAGTAGACCGATTTCAGGGCAGACTTTACCGCTGAGAATAGAAAAATCAGGCGTCCCAGACAGCTGGATTCCCGCTCCATCCGGTGGGAAGAATAATCCACCAGGGTCTTGTCTGGTGGTGTGGAGGCTGAAGGACGGACCCTATAGTTACTTGCACTATACCAAACGTAACATACTCTGATATCGACAGCAGTATAAGAACCATGCTCTGCTCTAGCTCAAGGACAGCAACACAATCCCCCAAAACATCTGCTCACACAGCACAGCACACCACACCACACCACACCACAGCACACCACACCACACTCCACTCCCCCAACATCCATCCAGCAACAAAACAAACCCAACACGAAAATGTCGTGCAACCTCCTCACCAACCCCTCCTTCGAAACCGGCACCCTATCACCGTGGTTCACCACCGTCCCCAACGTGAACATCGCCACCATCACGAACGCGACCGCCGCCTACGATGGGAATTATTACCTGTAGGTCTGCCCTTTTCCACCTGCCCCCTGCCTCCCTACCCCCCATCCCCAATCCCCAATCCCCCATCCCCCATCCCTATCACATGCACCTACTGCACAGCACTAAAGCAGAGAGGGACCAGCGACCTCAAAACGGACTACGGCAACCGCGGGCACTCGATCGCGCAGACGGTGAGGGGCCTCCAGCGCGGCACGGTGTACGACTTCCGGGCGCAGATCCAGATCCCGGGCGCCTCGTCGGGGGTGGAGTACTGTTTCGTGGACGCGTATATCGGTGGGAACGCGACGACGGGGCTCATTGTCTCGCAGCTGCTGGAGCCCTCGGGGGAGGGGTGGACGACGGTGCGGGGGTCGTATCAGCGGCGGGGGCGGCGGGCGGAGGATGTGTTGACGGTGACGGGGTCGTGTACGTCGCCGGGCAGTTCGTATGTGTGGGATGTGTTGGTGGATGAGGTGGTTTTGGAGGCGGTGGGGGGGTGTGTTTGATTGAGATGGTGATGGTGTCACTGGTTGTTGGGCCGTCGGGGTGGGTTGTGGGTGGTGGTGATGGGCTGGGCTTGGGGTTTGGGGAGGGAGGGATGAGGGTGTACTGTACTGGGGATTTAGTTGAGGGTATGTTCTGCATGTTTGGATGTTTGGACATAGGATTTAATGCGATGGATTATAACTATCTGCTGCTGCAGTGGTGCAATGGACTAGTTATGCGAGAGAGTTACGGAGAGAAGGATCATGCCAATTGGGAAGGAATACAAAGGAGCTGAGCCCTGAGCCTCCTTGAGATGATTGCACGGTGCAGACATAGGAATTCAAGGCCTGCCAGGTATAACTTAATCGGTACTGCACAGTCTGCATGCAGACACAACAAAATACCAAACCCACCCCTCCTCCCCAAAACAACCCCAATCCCACCCTCGAGCGAGTCCAATTCTAACCCTTATCTCAACACCCGAACCACTACCCCCAATATCAACCCCATACAAACAAAGACACACAATTGGAAACACCCCTGTCCCACATACTGACCTGTACACTCACGGCATATTGCCGGGCCTACAGCACGGGATGTGATCTACTCGGATAGGGGGGGCTTTTGGATCGGGGGCAGAAGGATACCAGTAGTCGCCTGAAGGCAGAGCCACCGGATGAGTGACCACCTCGTTAGAGGGCACTACCTCAGAGGACTACTCCATCCACCTACAACCACAGCCTCAGCAGCGAGATCGAATGACACCAACGCTGCAACTTGCGTTTCTGACTGGCGTGGTACGTTTGTCCATCAGTATTGTCCTCACAATATGCTCCCTGCTGTGTGGAAACTACTACAGTAGTCATAGATTAGAAGACATATTGGTATGCGCGCTACCATACAAGGCCCGAAAGAAGATTAGAAAGATATAGTCTCCAATACCCAAAAGGCTAGTCGCATTCCGACCTTGACCAACCCTACTGGATCGCGCACCGCAGTAACAAGACCCGAGAAGAATGGAGACACCGAAAGGGTCCCAGGAATAAATCATAAATCATAATCCACACGGCCAGATGACTGCACAGGCCACTCCAATGGCCGCAACATCTCAACGGCTCAATGTGATTCAAGCCAAAGTCCTACCGCTGCTTTCTTTGATCAAAAACTGATGCACTGGCGGTGACGCCCTCCCAGCCAGGGGGAAGTGGTATGCCATTCCTGTGCGCCATTAGCCCATAAACATTAACAAGCGACTGAGTGGTTTCGCGTACTTTATGTGGTAATTCTTGATATTCCGTGCTCTGTCTTTGACCTGCCCCTCATCTTTGTCAGTAAACCTTTTTTCACCTGGCTGCAGAGGCTCGATTGCGTCATGTTTTCTGATTTTTTTCCAGTCGAAATGGGTGCCCCTTAGACAGTCCTGTCCATGCTCATCAATAAGCCTCTTTAGTCGTTTTGATTGCCCAGGCTCCCAGCGCACCGTAGGCCGCCGACCTGGTTTATTTTTCTGCGTGGAAGGGGCCGAGGCGGATGGTGGATTTGGTGAGACCGATTGAGCGGATCGAGTCGACCTTCTAAGTGGACTAGAGTGTATCTCCTGAGCACGATTGCTCGAGCGCTCCGTCGCATTTTCTGTTTGATTTTCTCGACGGGCACGTTTGCTGCGTGGCTGGATCGGCTTTCTGGCTCGTTGGCGCTCTACGGATACCTCGCGGTCGTCGTGCTCGAACTCAGCATCGCTTTCAGGAATCTCATCGGATTCTCGCCCACGCTTGCGGGATGTCTCGTTGCGCCGACGCTCGACGCTTCGAGGATCCAGTCCCTGGCTGATGGGGGACACACGTGCGGCATTAGTCTGTCGGTCAATAAACATGACACGTGAGTCGGGAGGCGCAGCCGTAGACCGTGGGATTTCTTCGTGAGACACGTTTGATACCTGACTGACATCATTATTCGTGTCTTTTCCTTGACCGTGCCTAGATTGCTGCAACGCCTCCTCCCGAAGGGACGATGGACGGGAGCTGCGAACAAACGAGGGACTATGAGACCTCTCCAATTGAGACTCCCCAGGCTCACCAATGTCTAATTGGCCATCGGTCACCTCGATTTCGACCTCGTCTTGAACAAATGTAGACGTCATATCGGGCGATGCTGGGATTTCGGACGGTTCCTCAGGGGCCGGTTCCCGTGTGTTTGCCCTCGGGCGCTCTACCTGGCGATTTTCAGAGCTCTTTTCTGAGGTGAACTGCTGCCTCGCGGAACGGTTTGTTGGCTGGAGAGGCTCCGTCTGCCGGGGAGTTCCGGGATTTTTGGGTGCAGCGCTGAGCTGCAGTTCTCGCTGCCGCAATCGATCCATGGCGGTTGCATTCAGAAACACTCTTCAGGACGTTAGAACAAGGACAACACAAACAGCAGAAGGAAGACTCACGGCTTGGATTTGAGGGACTTCCTCCGTTCTCCATCGACCGACGGAGGCTTCTTGAATGAGTTTGGCGGAATGTTGTTGCTAGCCCGGGTCGTTTCGACAGTATTACTGACACTTTTCTCCGGTCTAGTAGTGACAGGCACGGGCTCTGCGCGTGTCGAAGACCTAGCAGGTTCAGCAGGGTTTGGGGTAGCTCTTTCCGGCGCTCTGGCTTGCTGTTCAACGCGCAGCGTATCGGAGCCATTCACACCTTCAGCCTGCTCCATACTTCCAGACCGTGGTGTAGGCAGCTCCGGCTGCAATTGTCTCTGAACCTCTGGGCTCACGAGAGTCCGACTAAGATCGTGCTCGACAGGAGATCCAGTAGTCCTCTGCAGGGATCTTGCAGACGGTCTAACAGGAGATTCTAACTGCATTGATCTGCGGGCCTCGGGACTTGCGGACTCCCCCGACTCCCAATGAGGATTTCTGTCCACCGGTTGAGTTTCGGGTATAGTATGGTACTCATTCCTAAGGCTGGAAGGAGTGGCACTATACCGCGTACTTCGTGCCGAGACCACACTGCCAGGGATATTTCGCGGGCCATTTCGAGCCAGTGAGGGCGTAACGACAGCATATCTCGATGTCGTGGCAGTCCCTGGAATAGACTGCGTCGGATGCCGGGCAGTTGACGGCGTTCCGGAGTTTCGCATCCTAGGGGTCGAAGAAAATGTGCTGCCCAGACTATAGCGCGTCTTAGGTCTGGCAAAGAACGCCTTTTTAACATCCTTATAAGTTTGTAATGGTCGTCGCATATCGGCATTGATCTCGTCGGTCCGTTTACAGACCCATTGGGCAGCGCGTAGGACGAACTTCCGCCATCCGTAGTTTTTCTTGAGCCCCTCAATGTCGATGATGTCTTCCACCAAGCAAAGAGCCTCCATTTCCTGGTAGCGATACGCCACCTCAGCTGCAAGCCCTGGTGGAATTTCTCCGTTAGGACCCCTCAGCGCCTCAGTTTCGAAGCCTCGGAGAACTAGACCCTCTTCATTCGCCAGCTCAATGCAGAAGCCCTCTTCCAGCACTCTGGAAGGCTCAAAATCCGGATCATTCTGATACTTCTCCTCCAGCTGCATGATCGTGTACTGGGTACGCAGTTCCAGAGCGAGATCAAAGGTCTCCTTTTCCAACAGACTATCACCCGCAGATCTTCTCTGGCCCGCTGGTACGAGCCTGGTTGTGAAAGGCAAAGGAAATATGCTGTCAAGAATCCGGATCGCCTGCTTTAGAGATGAAGTTGATTCGGGTTCGCACAGAAGTACCTCGAGCACAAACCGCGCACAATTAGCTTTTTGCAAGGCTGGGGCTGGATCCCACTGGCCCTCAAGCTCATGGAGCTTCTCAGCCACTGTTGCCGATGATTTGAAAATGTCATCAACAAGCTCTACGTCAATGTACGGCTGACTTCCGAAGTACCTAGCTTCCTCTCTGAGGTTGGACGTCTGTCGAGCCAGCCGCCAGCTTTCCAAACTTTGGGGATCATTCAGCTTCTGAAGCAATTTGGTAAACTCGAGCAATTCGAAAGGGCTGGGCACCGAGAACTCGAGCATATCCTCGGCCGCATCCCATAACTTGGGGAAAGCCTCAATCATCTTTCCCGGGTCAAGGTCCAAGTCCGGCTCCGAGGGTAAGATAGTGGTCCCGGAGATATTGATCTCATCATCTGGTGTTTCAGGGATGACCTGATCCTGAGTTTCAGGTCGCGAAGCCATCGGCTTCAGAGGCGACGACTTTTGAGGGGATTCCTCGAGGACAACAGCAAGGGCTGACAAAGCGAAAAAAACAGTGAGCTTAAGGGTCACACAGGAGGGTTGGGACAGGCCCAAGGCAGAACAAAGGAGAACCGGCATGAATACGACAAACAAAGACAACCGACCATCCCACACAAACAACAACAACAACCACCACACACCCTCCACATTGATATACAGAGTAAGGTGAAGGGAAATGGAAAATAAAGCCATTCACTCACCGGTTGCATGCCCCTTCTTGCCTGAGGTAGCCGCAGCAGCATCATCATCATCATCATCATCATCATCATCATCATTATCCAAATGATGATCAGCGTCGTCCTCATCATCAAGTAGCGGTCGACGACGATGCCCCAGCTCCCGACTCTGACTCCTGGTCACTCTCCGGGTCACGGGACTTGTTGTTTTCCTGAGAACTTGACCAAAAGCACCGGAACTCAAGCCATATCCATTCAACCCTTCCTTCATCAGCGGCAGGGATGAAGAATATGATGGGGTGGAAGGTGGTCCTTCCACCTGGCGCGACCGCGACCGCGCCATAGATATCGAACCCAAAACAATGACCACAACACACAGTGAGAAGAATCCCTTGTAAACAGGAAGGCGGTCAGGCGGGACGGGAAGATGTAAGTGGTATTCCCTACTAAACCCCCCTTGCAGCGAAAGGAAGTAGAAAACTGAGATGCAACAAGAGTGTTTCCCACCAGCACTGATGGTTGTTGTTGTGATGAAGAGAAGTGGTCGATGGCTGGAGCGGAGAAATGGAAAGAACTGAATTGTGCCAAACGCTTAGGGGACAGACTTGGGGTAAGCGGTTGCACTAAGTAGGGTATGAGATTATGTAAGTGACTTACGTCAGTGGCAGAACGCAGGCGGTGAGTAAAACCCTAATGTAAACCCTTATGTTGGAACTTAGAACTGCCGGCCTTTGGACAATAATTCCCTTTTGGGAAAGACAGTGTTGCCTGCCCAGTGGAAGTGATGGAAAGCTATCGCATGAAGTGAGATGCGTCTCTCTATAAACACTGTGTAAATCTCTACAGATGCAGCTTGCTCTGCAAGCCAGACCACTGAGAGAAGCAACGTCGACAGCCCTGGTTCTGAATCAGGGGCAATGAAACCAAGCACACTTCACCCTGTTTTTACTCGGCCCCGGGGGATTCTGGAGGCTGTGAAAGAGTCCAATAGTATAGCCCAGCCTCTCTAGTGCTACAACCTGGACATTGAAGGAATTCCTGTTTACAAATTCTGCACAACAGAAGACATAGCCCAGCAACAGCTGGAGTCGTGGGCGTGTTCATCCGTGCAATCGCCCGCCTTATAGGGAGACTCAGCCTTCTATAACTTGACACTATGAGTTTTCCCAGATAAACGGAGAATATTAGAGCATGGACTAGTATCTACAGCACCAGTCTACCAAGAATCAAAACAATCCTGTTTTTAGATTTTGAGCAATTGCGTCGCGTTTAAGAATTATAGGTTTGATTTCGGCCGCGTCCAACCGTGCAATATCTAATATCCTCGAAGACTCAGCCGCAACTAATCTCAGTCCATGAGTTTTTCTGAAACTATAAAGGGCACTAGAATATATTTCAGAGCCTAAAGCACTGTTTTATCAGGAATCAAAGCAATCCTGTTTTTAGTTATCGAGTAATTGCGTCGCGTTTAAGAGTCAGAGGTTTGATTTCGGCCGCGTCCAACCGTGCAATACGCAGTATTCTAGGAGACTCAGCCGCAAATAATTTCAGCCCATGAGTTTTCCTGAAATCATGAAGACCATTGGGACATATTCCAGAGCCTAAAGCACTGTTCTACCAAGGATCAAAAAATTCCTGTTTTTTGTTTTCGAGCAATTGCGTCGTGAATAACAACTGCAAGTTTTGTTTCAGCCGCGTCTGCCCGTGCAACACCCAGCATCATAGACGACTCAGTCTCAAATAACTTCAACCCACAAGATTTCCTGAACATACAGAGGGTGGTGGTGAGGTGTACATTAGAGCCTACAGTACTACCTTACCAAAAGCTACAAAAATCCCATTTTTAGTCCTTAAGAAATTGTGCCTTTTCGAATACTTGTCAATTCGGCTCAAGTATAAAATTGAGCCAGGCGATTCCCGCCGCATGCCCCCATTCTAACTATGTTCATTCATTGCTTTCCAACGACCCTCACACGAAGCCAGTGAGACCTTATCATCACGGAGGCTAAATTCAGAATGAAGTAGAGGAACTACTGAAGGAGATCAGGTGAGAAGTTATGAGTGAACTGTTCTGGAACAGACTACGCAGTACTCGAGGCAGAATTACTCAGCTGAGTTGTGTAGCAGAGGAAGAACTGCCACAAAGTCTAATACAAAGCCATACGACGACGGGACGAACTGAAGGACATCGAATCGTCAGCCACTGAACTCAGATAAGAGAACCAAGTTGTGGCCAGCCGGCCAACAGACAAAGAGGGAATTGCTGGTAGAGCAAGATGAGATTGAAATGCAACTCATTCTAAATCCAGGTAAATTCAGCCAATACCAGCTCCCATAAATCAACGCCGTAGATGCCATCCACCTTAAGATGGATTTCGACAGACATCATCTTTTATCAAAACATGCCAGACAGGCTAAGAGAATACATGCATGCATTATCAAGTATATGCGTATCAAGGGACCCAGCGTGCCATAAGCAGCAAGGCTCAAAGGGAAGGAAGGAAGAGGAAGGATCTTAGTAGAGCGCTTCGATGAGATAGATGACGCCAAAAACCAAGAACGCAGTAGCACCGCCCAGGGTGACTGTTGACACGTTAGCATTCTGCCCGTACCGACAGAACAAAAGAGACAAAAAAACTTACCAACACGCATGCTGACCTTGCCAGCAATGGCACTTCCTCCAATCACTGCCGCAGCAGTGCAGAGTCCATGGCCGGTGATAGCGCCGACGGTGACCCACCAGTAGTCCTGACCCGCAGCCATGGCGATTGTGGCGATCTGGCTACGGTCGCCCCATTCACCCAAAAAGGTCATCACAAAGGTTTGCACCCAGGCGGGGCTGAGAAGAAGCGAGAATAGATTGTTCATGCCATTGAGAGCATCGCCCCAGCGATTGGGGGAAGGTGACGATCCACGCGAGGAAGAAGATGAGACACTCTCAGGAGGCGAAGGGAGGCGGTTGCCAGATGAACGGGACTTGCGCCGGCCCACGCGACCGGCCTCCAAGGCGTGAGGAGTCACGGAAGAGCGACGACGGTTCATGCGCATCTGTTGCTGTTCTTTCTCTTCCAGTTCCATCTCAACCTCCTTCATTTCCTCGCCGACACCCTCATCGGGAGACATCTCGCGGCCCTCTTTCAACATCTTCAGCCCGAACACGAAGAACAGGACCGCTGCCAGAAGCTTAGTAAGAGACTTAGGAATCAACGAGGGCACGGCGTGACCCAGGACAGCGGAAAGGACAGTCATGATCATCAGCGCGCCGAATGCCGCGGAGAAAACGAGCAGGCGCGGGTGACGCATCGCCATGAGGGCGGCCACCAAGAATGTCTTATCGCCAATCTCCGAAACCACGATCATGGTAAACGAGAACAGCAGCGAATGGAACGCGGTTTCCTCCTGAATGTCTCCGGATTGTGGTTGCAGGTGGCCATCCTTATCCAGACCGAGCGGGCTCTCTTTCACCGTTGCGGGGGACTTGGGAGGTGGGATGTCATGGGGCTTCTCAGGCAAGTCGGCGGGTTTCTTGGATCGATGTTAGCGCTTGCCCCTTTTCCATTAAGGATCATACCAGCGTCCCCGCTTACCTCGAGTCGACCCAGGCTTGAATCCGCAGTAAAGCTCTTGGGGTCCTTGGCCTCAGTGGCCTCAATCTGCGTGGGCAGCTTCTGCTGCTCGCTGTGCGGCAACGGCGGAGCTTCCTTAGGACTATCCGGCGTCTTCTCGCCGGGAAACGGATTCTCCCTCATCTTCTCCGTGACGCCGCCCTCTGTCCCTCGAGTTCCTTCTTTTGGACCCGTCCGATGAGGGTCGTCCATCACGCCGTCATTTGAATACGGGATCGGCTTGCCGTCAGGCCCAAATTGTTCTGCCGCTTTGTAATCGGCCACGGTGACGTCGTCCATTGAAACGCCCGAGCCTGACTTTTTGCGATCCCGCTCGGCGCTTGTTTCCACCCAAGGACCGGCGTGAGGCCGGCCATCCTTGCCGTCAATGGGGGCGTCCAGCGTCCCTTTCGAGGCAGTTTTGGAAGCAGCGAGTGCATCTGTATCAACAGCGTTGGCAGTGGATGCATCCTGCAGGCTCCCACTGACTGTTGTTGAATCGGCGACGGCGACTGAGAGTGCGGGGAGAAGAAGAAGAAGCGAAGATAGATGGTGGACCTTCATGATGCAAAACGTCGGTCGCGAAAGAGATGTCGGCTGAAAAAAACTAGTGATACGATGACCGCAGCTAGAGTTGAGCACGCATTAAGCGATTCGGCCGTGAAATAAGGATCAAATCTAAAGACAGTGGTTGGTTGCTCAAGCCACGAGAGCAACTCTGACGCGGGAGTGAGAAGGAACGCGAATGAGGCAATCGGTAATACTGAAATCGAACGGCGATCCCGGTAGATGGCGTCAATCCAACAACAAGAGATTAAATCAAAGAGAGCACGAGATAAAGAAAGAAGGAAGAAGGAAGAGACCGAGGGGGTGGGATGCAGGAGATTCAAAAGAGGAGCGAGAACGAAAGACCCGATGGAGCCTGGGCTGGCCGTGTTTCCACACCGGCCGCAAAGGGGCAACGCCGCCTCCACATCACGTGGTGGCTGGCCGCTTGCGGGCGGGTATCTTCAATGTTAGGTTGCCAAATTTCCTGCCTCAGGACGGTAGCGTCTGACAAACGCCCCGCCATGATAGGAGGATAGGAAGATACAACAATACAATATACAGACATCTATGCAAGGCTGGATCCGGTACGGAGTAGTACCTACATCTACCTGCCCCATCATTCAGGGGATACAACAAAGGATTTTGGCAGCGTGAACAAATATTTATAGCAACTGCCGACTCCAGCAAAATCGTTGTACTGTAGACAAAGCCCCGGTCATCAAGCCGTCGTGGTTCGTGGTTATACTATGAGTACAGTACATACATACATTCCAATATCCACCTCTCTCATCATCGGTAGATGATCTCCATGTAGCAGTAAATCAATACATATATTATATAAGACCTGTCCTGAAATCCAATCAGAACCTTTTTCGGACCCCAATTTCAAAATAATAGACCAATCCGAACCGTAGCATCGCAATCATGCGAGCCAAAGATGAACGCCAGCCGAAGAAAAACGCCAGATTCCTGATAAGGGTATCATTCATGCCTCATATCCGTGTACGGAGTAATCCCAACACAGGATGATTGGAAACAAAATCAAGAAAATTCCCAAAGACCACCAAAAATTGGTCGAATGCGCGCATGCCGTTGTGAGATGTGTATTTCGTTTCATTCAGATGCAGACTCAGATCCCGACAAACGCCGTTCCACCGTTTCTTTATCCTCCCATTCTGACAACAACTTGGAGACCTCTTTGAAGGAAACCGGCTTCGTGAGGAACAAGTTGACACCCGACGTAAGCGCCTCAGATTCATCGCGCGAGCTACTGAGGCCCGTCAGGGCGATGATCACGGCGGGGGCGCAGCCCTCGCCGCGCTCTTTTTCAATGGCTCTGATGGCGCGTGTTGCCTCAAATCCATTCATGACTGGCATAGACATATCTATGGTGATGGGGTTAGCAGAGGGCTGAATTATGGTGACAAAAAGAGCTACTTACCCATGAAAATAATATCATAACCTTCAGGGAGCCGCTCAACAGCATCAACGGCCAACTTGCCGTTCTCAGCCGAGTCCAGCGTTTCAAGTTCCCGCTTTTTCATGAAGGTGAGCATCAACTTAAGGTTGATCGAATTGTCATCCACAACCAAGATGCGTGCGCGGCGATTGACCGGCAAAAAGTCTGGTTGCTGACTTGGCGATTGGGGTTGGACGGATGACGCCGCTGATTCAGTTGGACACAAAGGTTCAAAGGCATCAGAGGACTGTGAACGCATGTAGTCGAAGGAAGACGACGAGTCCGAGCTGGCGGTCGCTTCTGGCGTGAGATCCGGAGTATCAGTGGGAATCTCGAACATCCTTTCTCCAGGGGATGTATCGCTTGATGTCAAGACAGCGGGCCGGGGCCGTTCTGGTAACTGATTTGTCTTCGCTTTTAGAGTCCCATTTTGAATCTCCAAGCATTTGCGAATGCTGCGTGCGAGTTTGTGTGGACCACACGGTCGTCGAATGATATTAACCATATTGGCCAGAGATAGCCACCGCGACCGACTTGTCGTATAATCAACGGATTTGTTACAAAAGACGAGGAGACATGGAAGCGTCGTGCCGGAACCAAGTTGCGCTCCCGAAGCCAAGTCCTGTTCCTCAGCTAAAGTAATATCCGCGGGTACTCTGTCCTGGGACGATACTATCTCAAGGCCATACCAATCGGTCAGGTAACGTATATAGACGGACCAGAATGAATGTGTCACTGCTTCCGCGGGTTCTACCCCAAGGATTGCAAAGCGACGACCAGCATGAGCCTCGCGCAGCATACGACTTTCTGTCAATGCGTCTTTCTCCTTGGCCGACGGCGACCGGGGGCCCACTGTCTCCTCCAGATCCACCTCAGGGCCAGGTCGGATTAGTGGTAGAGACACCTTGACAATGGTACCTTCGCCAGGGCGACTATGGATGTTGATACTACCCTTAAGAGCTTTGACAAGGCTCCGTACAATAGAGAGACCAAGGCCGGTTCCAACTGCGAGAGTATCTTCTTGAGCGAAAGGTGTATACAAGCGACCGCGCAGGAACTCCTCAGAGATGCCTTTACCAGTGTCAGAAACAGTCAAAGTAACCAGTTCTTCGACTCCATGACGGCGTGAACGGCCTTCTGAAGCCTCTGTGACCTCCAGATGCAAAGACACACGACCACTGTGAGTGTACTTCATCGCGTTCCCGAAAACGTTCATGATAATGCGTCTCAGGGCTCCTGGCTGCGTGAGATAGGTCCAATCATTATGTGCAATATCCACTACGACCTCCACATCCGAACGACAAGCCGTCTCTGCCTCGAGCTCAGACGCGGGTTTCCTCGACTGTCCAAGCGGCAGGACCATAGGCTGATCATAGGGGGCGGAGGACTTCTGACCATAGGCATGACCCAGGCATACACCTTCCACAACTTCTTCAGCCAATAAAGCCAAGTCTGTTGCCACATAAGTGTCCAGGTGCGTGGAGAACCGATCTGGTCCTCTCAGCTCGGTGGGTGGTGTTCGGCTTCGCTTCATATTTCGATACGTCCGTTCCAGAGAAACGATTTTGCTGAAATCCAAAACCTGGTTCATCGTGTCCAGCAGAGTACGCCCGCATGCGTTGATGGTCTCCAAGAGAGAGGTTTGAAATTCGTCAAGCTGCGTGCCGTTGAGAAACTCCGCGGCCGCCAGGATCCCATGGAGCGGACTCCGAAGCTCGTGACTGGCAAATTGTCAGCAAAATGCATATGGAATGTGCGTTAGAGATACTCACGATATACTGCCTATGAAATCGCCCTTTTGCCGATCTGAAATGAGTGATTCGACCCGATTGCACTCCGCCATGATGGAAGATCCGAACCCGAGGATAGAACTCAATTCTACAGACGAGCTGAAGACTTGCGTCTCCAGTGTGTTCCAACAGAAACAGCCAGCAAACCACTGTGAATTTGCAGAATTCCAAAGCGGCACAAAAAGAACTTGAGTGGCGTTCGGAAAGTACTGATTTAGCATAGAGTTTTCCGTGGCTCTCCATCGCTTGGATCCTGTCTTGCCCGTCTCGGATGACCTGGTGGTGCGCGAGCGACTTCTTCGTGGCGTTTCATCGTCGGAACTCGAGATCATACCATCGCGGTGAAAGGACCAAAGCTTGCCTTTACTGTACCGCCGCAGTAGTTGGTGAAGAAACGCAGTGTCGAGGGAGGCTGCTGGGTAGAGGGCTTTCGAACCTGGGCCGGGCGCAAATGGCTCTTCACTGGTTGAAATAGCCAGCACAGGAGCCGGATTGTTGCCTTCTATCGAGCAATCACTTCCTGTGTCAACGTCGATCATCGGACTATTGTTCGCCTCGACGAAAATGACTCCGCCATCTACACTAAGCTCGAGACTCTCTCGTAGCAGATTGGCCGCCCGTCGGAATGCCCAGCCATGTCCGTGAGAGTCATCAGAGCCCTTCAATTCTTTTTCGCGACTGCCGGCCCACCAATCTGGGAAGGGGGTGTCCGGTGCGGAGGATTGAGCATGATCGAACTTCGATTCAGACACGGAACTGAATGAGCGGGTATCACTGCTTTGAGATCGCCTGGATGGAGCATCGAAGCTATTAAGAGACCCAAGAGAGTGATGGTTGGCTCGCTGACTTGACGAAGGTGGCGTGCTGGGTGCCGCTGCAGAGCTACCAAAGGAGGAGGGATGACTTCCATCGACAAAGCTGGAGCTGCCTTCAACAAAGCAGCTGAGACCACGAGACAGGCGGGCTGCACGGCGACCTTCGGACGCTTGGCGGCTGACCTTCAAATAGTCCATGATCAAGCCGGCCAATGTGTCCATAGTGCCCCTCTCCGTAGAGCTAAAACCATCGTGCGGTTTTGTGTCAAGAACAAAGAAACATCCAATGTTGATGTTGGTGTCTGTGGTCAAGGGCGTACCGGCATAGAATCGAAACTGCGGCTCTCCTGCCACGAATGGAAGGCGCTTATATCGTTCTTCTTCGCTGAGGTCGTTCAGAATCAAGAATTGGCGTTGTCCCGGTTCGCGGGCGGGCGGAAGAGCAACAGTGGCCTGGAGGAAAGAGGCGATCTCGTCTGAGTAACCGAAGTCACGGAACATATTCGAGGAGTCGATACCTACCTTGCACATACTCCAGGCGCTAGATGATAATGTTGAGCAACCATCCCAGACGCCTTCACCGGATGCTTGATAGTCGCTAACGGCCCCAGTCTGGGTGCTCTGCGCCAAAATGAATTGGCTCTGCCGGTCCGAAACACTGTCGGGGAGGTCGATTAAGTCAGTCATCCACAGTGAAAAGATGGACAGGAGTTACCCCATGATATTGAGTTTTCATCCCCAACGTACCTGATCAACACGCGCTCAACATTGAGTCGCAATGCTGCCAGCTGCGCAAACGACGTTAACGTCGCATTGGCTTCCCCGATTATCAGACTCTCGGGGACAAGCCCTGCTGCAGCGGCGTCAATGGCGGGGTTTGAAGGGCATTGGGAGTGGGAGGATAATGAGGGCGACGAAGGAATGTGGTTGGAGGAATCTAAGCTGGCGGAGGGAAGCGCATCATCGCTGGCGGAGGTGAAACTGCGGTCTTGGGGGACACCGGTGCGTTCGGGCTGGAAGTACCGGTACAATTCCCGAACT